ACTTCATTGACCGCAAATAAGAAATAAAGACTTCACAATATATTACCAGTAGTGCTGTCAAACGATTAATCGCATCCAAAATAAGTTTTTGTTTACATTATGTGAATTGTTTATTTATTATGTATATACATTTATATTATTATATATATATATATATATTTAATATATAAACAGCATATTAAATGTATACATGCAAGTCTTTGTATTTATATATACATAATAAATATACACAGTACACTACACACTCATATATTATGTAAACAAAAACTTCTATTTTGCATGTGATTGTTTGACAGGACTAATGACCAGACATCTGCTGTCTCTCTCCTAGAGCCTTTAAACAATACCAGAAGCCTTTACGCATGTGGAAACCATACTGCTGAAAACTTTAAAGCAGACTTTTTTTTTTTTTGGTCAAAGGATTTAATAAAGTTGACAAATACATGAAAAAAATCTTACACAGATGTCACTTTATTAGATAACATTTCAAATCAAGTGTCATTTTTTTAAAGACGGTACATGTTTTTCAAGCAAACATTGGGAATTTAAGAAGTGTTTGGACATTTTTTGTATGTTCAATCACTTTGCAAAATGAGAAATGCTTTAGTTTAAACGTCTTTGTATGAGTTATCTAGTAATTCTTATAACAATGATATTCACACATTGTATGTGTGGCTTAGGTTGTCAAAAAAAAAAAACTTTTGGTGACTATATATCAGGGTGGCCGCGGGTCCTTAAAAAGTCTTAAATATATTGTTCCTAATAAAAGGCCTTAAAAAGTCTGAAAATGTCTTAAATTCAGATTCGATAGGTCTTAAATATTTTTCGTCGCATTACCGCAAAAATTTCTCCAGTCTGACGGACCCAATGACTGATCACTCATTGGACAGAAGATTTTTTTTTTCGCGGTAGTTATTGCGTTGCGTCATCGGAGATAATTGAGGTAGCAGGTACCGTAGCTGTAATGGGTAAGTGCAAATTTAATGATAAATGGCTCGAGAAAGATGAATTCTCGTGGTGGTTGAGGCCGGTGCCAGGAAATGTCTACGAGGCAAACTGCGCCGTTTGTAGAACATGTTTTAAACTGGGTACAATGGGCATCAAAGCGGTGGAATCGCACACGCAGAGCGGGAAGCATAGGGAGTATGCGAGTGCCCGTGAGAAGCAGAGTGCAATTGAAGGTTTCTGTTCCACCCTTACCACGAGCAAAGATGTTGGAAATCCACAGCCTACAATGCCATCATCTGACCTCCGTACAGTTTTTGGCTCAACGCCAACACTACGAGCTGAGGTGATTTGGGCGCTGAGAACGGTAACAAGCCATCACTCATTCAGGTCAAATGACGGGATTGAGGAGGTCTTCAAAGCTATGTTTCCGGACTCGGGGCTTGTTCAGACATTTACGCGTGGAAAAGATAAAAGCAGATATATAGCTAAGTTTGGACTTGCGCCATATATATAAAAAGAACTAATAGCCGAGGTCAACAGATGTGGTGCTTTTGTGATCATGTTTGATGAGACCCTGAACCAGACAACTAAAAGCAAGCAACTGGACCTTCATGTGCGGTATTGGTTAAATGAACGTGTTCAGTCAAGGTTCTTTGGATCTCAGTTTATGGGGCATGCAACTGCACAATATCTACTTAAGCATTTCAAAGTAAGTTTTCTTTTAATCTGTGTATTTATCAATTTACCTATAAGAGTGTTATCATGTAGAAAATGTAGGCTAACGTAAGGCCCACAGTATGACACAGTGTTTTTACAACTTTAGGTTAACAAGTATATAGCTGAATTGTAATTTATATAATATATAAGTTATATATAATTGTGTATATAGTCTATAATTGTGTATGTTTTAGTTAAGTATATAGCTTAACTATATATTTAAATGCTGTACAAAATTTTCAACACTGTTACTTTCCTATCTTAAGTGTAGTCTACTGATTTGCCAAGTGAATAACAACAGTAAAGGGCAGTAAATGTTAATAAGCTTACCAGCTGAGATGAATTTACTGTAATACATTTTAGAATAAAGCTAGGTGTTTTACACCTGCCAAAGTATCTTAATAAAGTATACAGACAGATATAACCCACATTCACTTTGGCCAGACTCTACTGGTTTTTTGGTTATAAAAATGGTTCATGTTGCTTCATTTTTTTAAAGTGTCAGAGATTAAATGTGTTGACTGTTGTATGTTTAATGTTTACTTTTTTTATTCCCAGGAATGTGTGCAGCAACTTGACCAGAGAAACATGATTTCTGTCTCCATGGATGGACCCAGTGTCAACTGGAAGTTTTTTGAACTGCTCCAGCAGGAACATGCAGAGGCGTTTGGAGGTGCCCAGCTGACTGTGGTCAGGAGCTGTGGGCTCCACACACTCCATAATGCCATCAAAAGTGGTTTCAGTGTCTGGCAAATGGAGAAGGTGCTCAGGGCACTGACATAACTGCACTGCAGATGGTCAGATTGGACACAACTGACAAGAAAGCAAGAAAACAACTAAAGAATGTGGACATCGGCTTAGGAGCAGAAGCAGTCATAAAGGTGTTGTGGCAAATATCAAACAATGGTTAGGGTACAGGAATTTGCGTAGAACATTTAGTCAGTTTCACTGTTCTCTATTCTTCCTGTTAGGAACTCCAGAGTAGTTGCAGAGTAGGTGAGCTCAGTGTGTTGGAGTTTAGAAGGGACTGCATGGCCTGTTTGACGGCATCGATGGATAGAAAACCTACCAGTCATCGATAGGGCTATTGCAGTATGGCCAATGATCGTGATGTACATAGATGCAGTGACACAGAAAAGGCTTCCAAATCCAAGAACATCATCCTATGACTCCCTCGCAGAGGCACGAAATGATCCTCTCATAATGGCCAAGTTTCACTTCTTCATGGCTATCTCCAGGACCTTCTCCACCTTTCTGACTAAATATCAGACGGATGAGCCTGTGATGCCATTCATTAGCAAAGACCTGGTCATGCTCATGAAGGTAATAAATAAAATGCCACAGAAGTAGTAAATTATGTTTCCATTTGAATTCAATAACATTAAGACTTATTTACATTGTACTGTATATGTGTACTATATATGTCATGTATATGTTCTCAGAGCCTGCTAAAGAGGTTCATCAAGGCAGAAATCCTTAATGACATAACTGCACTGCAGATGGTCAGATTGGACACAACTGACAAGAAAGCAAGAAAACAACTAAAGAATGTGGACATCGGCTTAGGAGCAGAAGCAGTCATAAAGGTGTTGTGGCAAATATCAAACAATGGTTAGGGTACAGGAATTTGCGTAGAACATTTAGTCAGTTTCACTGTTCTCTATTCTTCCTGTTAGGAACTCCAGAGTAGTTGCAGAGTAGGTGAGCTCAGTGTGTTGGAGTTTAGAAGGGACTGCATGGCCTGTTTGACTAACATCGTCCAGAAAATTCAAGATAAGAGCCCATTGAAGTACACTGTTGTGAGGCAGATGGCATGTTTGGACCCAGAAAACATGTTCTCAGACCCTAACTTGTGCCAGGAAAGAATGAAGCGAATTGTTCATAGGTTTCTACAAGACCACCAGCTGCCAGGAGGCATCTCTGCTGGTATTTAAGATTTCAGAGATCTAGCAGAATGTACACAGTCACATTTACCTGAAGCTTGTTTTCACACAATTTAGCAGTGATAGGTTTGTCTGATTCATAATTATTATGTTATTTGTGTTATTTATTTTAATCTGTTTTACAACAGGTGATGTAATTGTCCAGCCGTTTGGAAACTTCTTGTCTCTGGAGGCAAAATCAGAGTCATTGTCTTCTTTCCAACCCATGAAGACAAGGCTGGATGTTTTCCTGCATGGACTCCTCCATCAATCCTACCCTGAGCTCTGGACTTTCTGCAGGAAACTTCTGCTCCTCTCCCATGGCCAAGCAACAGTGGAGAGGGGCTTTTCTATTAACAAGGAGGTAGAGGCCGATAACATGCGGGAGGACACCGTTGTTGCTCAGAGGATGATATGTGACTATGTTTCTGTCTGTGGGGGGGTTCTAAAAGTTCCTCTGACGAAGGAGATCCTGGCAGCTGCAACTTCTGCAAGATCTCAGTATCGGCTACACCTGGACCAGGAAAAGAGAAAGCAGGAGAGCAATGCACAAAGAGAAAAGAGAAAAGCTGCAGAGGACCACATTGAGCAGCTCAAAAAGAGGAAGATGGTAGTAGCTGAGGTGGCAAACAGCCTTGAAAAAGAAGCAGACAAACTGGCAGAGCAAGCTGAGGGTAAATCAGGTACACTCATGGCCCAGCTAATCACCAAGTCTAATAGTCTGAGGAAGCGATACAAAGAAAAGGTCGCAGAACTAAAAGAGGTTGAGACTGAGTTAGGAAATAAATCCGTAGAACTCAGGCATATGCCATAATGTCATATGGTGTAATATCCAGTTAACCATTTTCTATATCCTCTCTACCTTCTCAATGAAAAGGTCTGTTCCACATTTCTCATTTCAAATGAAAATTGTTCAAGCACATTGTTATGAGTCAAATATTTGTATAAGGTAGACATAATAGTAATACAAGCCAGAACAGAAATCAACCTGTTATTCTGAGCTGGTTAATGATAGTAATTAATGTGGTACAGTGGCTTCTTTGCAGTTTAACAGCAGTTGAAATTGTTGTATTTTGTTTTCATTATTTTTCTATTAATTTTCTCCTTCAAAAGAACAGTATTTCTCTAGCTATTTGGCAGCTGTCAATTTTGATTTCTTGGATATTGTATTCGGATATGAAAGCTCACTGTATATTGCAATAATAAATAGCATTTGTGACAGTAATGATATTTTGTGATTACTTTTTGTGTGTGTGTGTGTGTGTATATATATATATATATGTATGTATGTGTGTGTTTCCATCGCATGTTTGGTCTTAAATTTCATGTAAGGTGGTATTAAAAAGGCCTTAAGTCTTAAATGTAACTTGTTCATATCTGTAGACACCCTGTATATATATATATATATATATATATATGTAATAAAAAAAGGCATTTTGGTAGTGTTTACATGTCAGGGACAAGCAGCAAGAGGAAAGTAATGAATTAAATTTGTTTAATAAAATTATACAATTTATACCCTTAATCATTTTCCATAATAGTAATAAGGCACTTAAAAGCTTATTATATTGTGAATCTATTCTTGGCTGAAGGGGTTGTTGCATTGTGCCTAACAATGGCCTTTAGCTGTAACTATTATTCACAAACAAGCACAAGCTTGTGTACTTTATTGCCCAAGTCTTTTCAGTTTTAAATTCAGCACCTTAGAATTTATTTAAAAAAGGGTTTAACACTGAAAATTTAAACAGTGTAGCAAATAGTGCGCAACAGAATGTCACATAAACACAAGCCCTTAAATACACGGCCACAGCAAAAGGATTTTACATACAATTCATGAGAAAATCCGTTTTAAAGACACTTAAATGCCCCAATGATAAAAAAAAATTCTGAATTTTCTTAATATGGATAGTCTTCCACATCTGTATCTGTTTGATTACAAAAATGCACAAAGCAAGTATTTGGTTAAAACTTTACGCATTATGCACAAGTTTATGGTTGTACGACAACTGGTACTAAACCTCACAATCTGTACTCAACCAGAATATTATTTGCTCTTATTCCAGGCTATATTTTTGGTTGTTCTTGTACTGAATCAGTTTAGTTTGGGGCTGATGAACACATTTAAAACATCTCACTGTTCCTCTACTGAATGCTTTTAAGGGGGATCTCCTCTGCAGGCTCCATACACGTGTACACATAATAAAGAAACACAGCAATGATAAGAAACAGCAAGACACGAAGCCAGCCCGGCACACCTCCAGATTTGCTGGTCTCTGGACTGGACTGACCACGCTGCATGGATGTGGAGACTGACGGGCCTGGCCGAGAAGAACTCTGATAGGACGAGCGAGCTGGGCTGATAATGGGCCTTCAAAATAGATAGGAAGGACATTTCATTTATTTTCCAGGGTTTCTGCAGGATTTTAAAGCTCAAATTTAAGACTTTTAAAGACCTTTTTTTAAGACCTGCACAAATAAAATTAATACCATATGAGCGGGGTAGGGCAATGTAGTACCATATTAAACTGTAAAAAGCATAATTTACAGTTCAGATACAAGTTTTCACAAAAACAAAGTTTTATAAAATGATAAACTTTACATTTCAGCCTTTAAACCATTGTTAAGAAAATGGATGAGTCAAAAGTATTAATTATTATATTAATTTAAACAATTATTATCAATAAATTATTATATCAAATAAACAACAAATTAGGGGTGAGCGATACTGACAAAAAATGATATCTCGATAATATTCTGGGATTTTATTGATAACGATAATTAGACAATATTTTGC